CTGTCGGACACGAAACAAGTCACATGGACGCAGCTCAAGAGACAGTGAAGAAGAAACAAACTTTATTTCTTCTCCCACAATTTATAGCTTTCTAACCATGGCCAGGGATTGGGTAGTCAGGATAACACCTTTCCAACCACACTGGCCACAAGAGATGTCCATCAAAAGACGTGTAACAGAAGGAATGCATACATATCTATGTTTATAGTTACTGTCCTGGTAAAGTTCTTTAGAAACTATATCAACAAGCTCCAAAGCTGAGTTTTTCAGGGCGACACTCAACTTCAGTAACAAATGCCCATAGACAATGTAAATAGTTGTCCTTGTTAAACTGACCTGTTTACCAGCATTTACATACTAATGGCTCAGAAGACCTTTATTTATAAATTGAGTGCTGTCCACTATTTTAGTGAGGGCAGTGTTCAACCAGGAACATCAGTCTGAGGTCTTCTCTCTAAATAGCTGTCAACAGGTCTGTCAGGCTAGGTCAGCTGATTTTAAGTTCTCAGCCAGCACTGCAGCTTGCATTCACAGTGCAGAGTACTGCACTGGAGAGAGGTTTTCTCCACACAGTAGCAAAATGCCAAGTTAATGAAAGATGGAAAACTGCTGTTGAAATACCTAACAAAATTCAAGTTTTTTGATGCATCTTATGATGGCTGTTACAAACACAACTTCATCCCTGTTGGGAACCAGTTTACCCATGGCTGTGTTGAAGCAGATAAACTTTGTCAAGTCCCCAACTCTACAGATTAGATATACAATGTGTATTAAGATTATACCAACCTATGAGATTTACTCATCTGCCTGCTGCACTGTTCCTTTTTCAGAGACATAGATACCATCCAAGAATTTCCTGATATCCTTGTTCTTGACTGTGGTGGCTTGCTGGATCAAGGCAGCTGCAGACAAAGTGAGACCATTAGCACAAAGCCAAAAGGTCCAAGCCAACTTGTAGCCTTTGTTTATGCTCCAGTATTTCAACTAACAAACAGGACTGTCATCTAGAGACAGGAATTACTAACTTTAAATCCTGTAAGGTGTAATGAAAATAGGATGCATTTCACTGAGCTCATCTTGGCAACTCAAGACAGTGGCACTTCATTACTGCACACATTACAGATGAGAAGTTTCATGTCAAAAAGGCAGTAGGTACTGACTTGAAGAAGGTTCTACAGACTTGACAACATATCTTTGAGCTTAGAAACAAAATAAGGAACTATGAAAAGCAATTATAGTGACTAGAGCAAAAAAAAAAATCTGGGCTGTTGTTTACCTCAGGGTTTTTAAGGTAAAGAGTTTGCTGTTATCTTCATATAAAAGTTTACATATCAATTTCCACACATCTACTTTCACAAACCTGAATTGGAAACCAACTCAATGTCATTCCCTTCAAGGATCAGCTCATCTTTCTGGGCTTGAGATACTGCGCAGGTAACACCTATGGAAAGGCAAACACATAATCCACACTCCTGAAGGTGTTAAATGTATTACAGAAACAATATTCATGTCCCATCCCAATTTACATGTCTAGACACTAGTATTCAAGACAGTAATTAGCTTCTATGACTTTGCTCAATAAAGTCCCTCAAATCCATTCCAGGGTTGTCCTCCATCATACAGTTTCAAAATTTAAAGATTAGTGCAAGTCATGCTCTGGAGTGAAAGCTTCTAAAGTGATACTCCTGCCTACCCATTATTACATTAGAGCAGCAATCACCAACACTGTGTACAAGCCAGTGATTTTTCCAGCAGGCTCTGTCAGCCAGGTGGTGCCATTTCCCACAGGCTTGTGCTCATTAAGACAAAACTGGAGTTGCTTCAATCAAAAGCCATTAAAAACCACCCGGCCCCTGTCATGTCATGTACTGTGCTTATACTAACAATGCTGCAAATACACACAACGAGTAAACACGAGGGCATTTGAGAATCTAACACAAAACTTGAATTTGTAAGGAAAGTAGAAGATGTTTTTACTGTTTGATCTACTTAATCAACAGACACCAGCTTTTAAACCAGACTTTCACTAACAGTACATGCTGGCTTAAAAAAAAAAGTCAAATACAGTAATCAAACCCACCCTTAATATCCCACAGTGAATCAAAAACCCTGCAACTCTACACTGTTATCTACCAGTGTTTTGGGATAAGTCTGATGCCTTCCTCTACAGTCACCCCAAAACACCATTAGTCACATTAAATGTCCATACCCATAGGTCCTTACCCTCACCAGAAGTGGAATTAGAAAACTACCAATGGATAAGGGAAGTCTTTCCTACAGTCTTTATGTAACTGTTTATGAGAAGTTTTGTTGCCTCCTTTCAGAAGTTTAACAAGCTTCATCAAGTGCCTGCCTTTCTGTTAGACATTTTACTGAAACTCCAAGTGTGCAAGATGTAAAAACAGCTAATCAGAAGGTAATTTCTAAGTTTATTGTGCATGCTCTTAGATAATCAACAAATTCAAACTAGAACATCTTAAAGACCAAAACGATGATATCATATGAAACTAGTTCACATATAATGTTTTAAAACAGAAGCACAAATCTAACACTAAGCACCCACAGGTTACCAACTATAAACACTGTTAAGATCTCCCAGTGATTGAAGTAAATCCTGGACTCCTTGTATTACAAACTGGTTATTAAATAGCTCTTGCTAGTAAAGATAAATTACAGAGTAATTATTAATAATAAATTAATAATTTGTTTATTAATAATTATTTATTAATAAATAAGTGGCAATGGTATTGTAAGATTATATAAATTCAGACAAGCACATACTGCTCCAACAATTATTCATCCTCTCCCACTCTCAGTGGCAGAGCCCAAAGAAAACAGCTTGGAAAGTCTATTTAAAACCAGCAGAATCCGTCTCCAGAACTCCAGGCTCACCTGGCCTCATCCGCACTCTGCGAATGTACTTCTCTCCCAGGAAGTTTCGGATCTCCACAAGTGAGCCATTGTCCTGTATGACTACATTGATTGGGAAGTGAGCGTACACCGACCTCATCTTGTAGCGAAAGCCCTGGGATACAGGACATAACCGGATATTGAAAGCAGAACACACCTCAGAGGCAAAACACATGCAAGATGTATCAACAGCTTCTGAAAAAGGCCAGGACACTGAGCCCAAGAGACATTTGTGCTTTTCTCCACTTGCAGAACTTGCTTGACAGGAAAGGCAAGACAAAAACCAAAAGGAGAAAGAAGCTGCATCTTGGATGCTTAGAAACACTCTCCATATAATGTAAAAGGCTCTCCCTGCAGTAACAAAAAGGCAGCAGCTATCCTGGTTCCAAACACAACTTACCAGAGTGACCCCCTTGATCATGTTCTGTACATGGCTGCAAATTGTTCGAACTGTTGCCAGCTCCTTTCTGTTACCCCACCACTTGTCAACACGCAGCTGCATCAAAAAAAACACATTAACAAAGCCTTCAGCTACACGTCAAAAACAACAAAAAATGATTTTGTGACAAATGAGGAGCAAAATTTTCAGATAAACTGCTTTAAGCCCACCAAACAAAAACACAGAATTATTTTGTTTCTTTGGCAGACTACTAAAAGCCCCCCTAGCTCTTGTACTTTAAATCCTAACGCTGAGACACGTGAGAAACATTTCTTTCTTCAGGTTCTGACACTAAGTCTTCAAAAGACCTGAGGTAGGAAAATATATTATCTTGAGCTAAAGGATGCATTAGCAATTGTTATGCACAATATTTTAAAGTCTGCCTTCTATGCATAATCCTAAATGCATAAACTTAAATGAAACACTGTGTGTGGATCCACTGTTTTAGCGGACCACTCAATCTTTGTGAAACAGTAGCTGACATCAGCCACTCTTAGTATTTTGAGACAATATGAAAAGTCACGCATTTATTTACAGAGTATCTGCTCTCCTAATATAACTTGCAGTTTCTGGAAATCAAGTAAACTGATTTTTATCCTCTAAAAGAACCACTCTGTAGAACAGTATACAATGATCAAACCCTTTCCCTGTACCTGTCACTAAAGAACAATGCAATCAACATATTCACTCCCACAGTGCCCAAGGAGGCCCCACGCCTCCGTAAGACGCACCTCTCTCAGGAAACACCCTTATAATAGCAAAACCTTCACATGCACACCCGCAGCTGAGCATTTTCGGTCACTCTCCTACATCACCGAGAAGTTTTTAAGCCAAATGTAAAGATCCCCTCTGTCTCTGGGCAAGTCCAAACGAAACAGCCTGCGAAGCACTCACTTTCTTGTGCTTCTTTCCCAGGAGGGACAGTTCCACGTTGATGTGGTTAAAATCCCTCCGCAAGGTTCCTCGGGGCCCCTTCACAATGACCGTCCGGCCCTTCAGCGAAACTCCCACTGCGAACCAAAGACGGACACGCGTTACGGGCTGCGGGGGCGGCACCGCCGGGCGCCTCCCGAACGCGGCGGAACTGACCTTGCTCGGGGATATCCACGGTCTGGTTGCTGAGGATGGTCTTCATCCTGCGGGAGACAAGCAGAAAGGCGGGAGGCTCCCTCGGACTTGTGCCTGCGGGAACCCCATCTACTCCTCCCCCGCGAGACCCGACGTCCCCCCCGGCTCTGCCACCGCCAGGCTCCACTCCCAGCACCGGCACCCCGGGCCCAGAGCGCGGCGGGGCGCGGCGGCCTCAACGGGGCCTTGCCGGGAAGGCGCCGTGCCGGGGCTCTCTCGCGCGGGCTGCGGGACAGGAGGCGCCGGCGGGGCCCGGAGCCGTCCCGGGGGGCTGCCCGCGCGCGGCGGGGGCGCTGGGGGCCCGCGCGCCGCAGATGCTCCCGGATTATCCCGGCGATCCCGGGCGATCTCGGCGACATCGCCGGGCCTCACCTCGCAGCGCGCAGCGCCAAAAGAGACAGCGTATGACGTCATCGCGTACTTGTAGCCGCTCCGGCTCCGTGACGTCATCGCGCCGAGGGAGCCGTCCGATAGGCCAGAGTAGCCGAGTCGGCCGAGCGCGTCGATCGGGCTGGGCGCCGCCATGTCGCTGCTGCTGCCGCGGGGTCGGTGCGGGGCTGCCGCCGCCCGGGGGCTGCTGGTGCCGCGGGACCGGGCCCGGGTGAGTGGCGCCGTGTGCCCCGGGGGCTGCGGGCAGCAGGACGGGCGGGGAGTTGCAGTACGGCACGCACGGCAGGAGGAGACCCTGCGGTGCTGTGCCGAGCCGGTCTGTCGTGGTGGCGCGGGACAGCGCGGGATGGCCGCGGGCAGAGCCCGGGAAGGACCGTCCCAGCCCCGCACGGACGGACGCATCCCCGGGCCCGTTCCCACGGGACAGCTCCCGGCAGCCACCAGGAACCGTGGCAACGCTGCTTCCTGCGGCCCCGAAACACCGGAGTAACCCTCACAGTCTCGTTACGCAGAATCTGTTAGGTTGGAAAGACCCCTGAGATCATCCAGTCCAACCTGTGACCGAACAACACCTGGTCAACCAGACCCTGGCACTGAGCACCACAGCCAGTCTTTCCTTAAACACCTCCAGGGGTGGTGACTCCACCACTTCCCTGGGAAGCCCATTCCAATGTCTAATCACCCTTTCTGGGAAGAAATTCTTCCTGATGTCCAAACGAAGCCTCCCCCGGTGTAACTTAAGACCACGTTCTCTCATCCTGTCGCTGGTTGCCTGGGGAGGAAGCCCATACCCACCTAGGTACAGCCTTCACTCAGGCAATTGTAGAGACCAGTCAGTTCCTCCCTGAGCCTCCCTTTCTCCAGGCTGAACACCCCCAGCTCTCTCAGCTTCCCCTCACAACCCCTGTGCTGCAGACCCTTCCCCAGTTCTGTTGCCCTTCTCTGGACATGCTCCAGTCCCTCAACATCTTTCTTGTAATGAGGGCCCCAGAACTGGACACAGGATTTGAGGTGTGGCCTCACCAATGCTGAGGACAGGGGAATTTTATGTTACACTGTATAACTTAGTGTGGTGTTATGATAGACAAGTCTGTTTCATGTGGCTTAAAATAAAAAGAGAATTATACATTTAACTTAAAAATCACTGGGAGAATGCTTACACAAAGCATGCATTAACCAGCAAAAGGGCAAATTGTTGTTTAACACCAGCATGTTTGTTACTAAATAAATTACAATTTTGCTTGTTTTAGGTTTCAGGGAGCCATGTGTGTAACCAGTATGGAACATCAGGTTCTTTGCCAGGGGGAAAAAAAGAGTTCCTGCAAAATGGACCAGACTTACAAGACTTTGTCTCTGGAGATTTGTCTGACAAGAACACATGGGCTGAGTATAAAGGCAATTTAAAGCGTGAGAAAGGAGAAAGGTAACAATGATTTTAAGCAACTTTAGTTGCTTCCCAGCACAATCTTGCACATTTAATAATAACCACAAAATATTTCCTATGTATCCTTATTAAATTCCACCCTACCGCATTGCAAATTTAATGATTACTCAAGAAAGGACAAGTGTCATCAACTTCAAAACCATAACAAAATGTGGAGATGTGGTGGTATTTTCTTGAGTGCCAGTAATTTAATTACAAATATACATCAGTAAGTGAATGTGTTGAACAAATACTACTGGTAGAGAAAACAAAAAAATGAAGACTGAAGTTTAAAAAATATTTAAACCCCCATATTTCCAGTTACAGATTGATTAGACTTTCTGATAGCTGTGCAATATCTACTGCCATTAATTGTTGCACTCTCCAGTGTGGCACTGTTCAGTCCTTCTGGAACAGTTTTAAATTTTTCAATGGCAACAATTCCTGTGCTTGAGTGTTGGCTTGATGATGAACAGGGAAGACATGGTCTGGCCATGAATGATGCTAACATTAATTGCTAAGTGGCACCAGTTTTCAAGGGACCTTTCCTTGTTGGGATCTGTAACAAATTAAAACAAATCTATTAATGAAATTCACCATGTAAGTAGTTTATTAATCTTTATGTTTGCTTGGTGTTATTCAGGCTGCATCTTCCTCCATGGCTGAAAACAAAGATTCCCATGGGAAAGAACTACAATAAACTAAAGAATACCTTGAGAAGTTTAAATCTTCATACGGTAAGTCTGGCACCAACCAAGTGTTCCTGTAGAAATACGGCAAATTTTACATTTTTCTCTGTGGAGGACAGGTGGAAACCATGTCTTGCGTGATCTTCTGTGCTGAAACCAAGCTCAGTGCTGATCCTTTTTGCTAGTAATGAATTTTACCCCTAAAAAATATGGGTAAATCCGACAGATTTAGTGTTTTTCCTACTGTGATTTTAAATACTGAGATTTACTACTTACATCAGCAGAGATTAGAAGATGCTATGTGCAACTGTTTTTAATGGAAACACACACAATTTCAGAGTTACATACTTGATTTTCATGAAAAGAAACTGTACAGATTTCATTAATTGTACTTTCCAGATAGTAAAAAATGGTGGGAATGCATGGAGGGGATTTTTTTATTTTTTTTTTTCAGATTGAGTTCATGCTCTAATGAATCACATACTTTGTGAACATTTTATCAGTCCTTAAATTTAAAATATTAATGATAGTGTGCACTAATTAAACAGACAGTTATGTGGCTGAGCAGTTTTTGCAGTTTTGAAGTAGAGAAAATAATGGTTATGGGTATTGGGAAGCAGTTCTCTTCCTATCTGTTCTACTGACTTGTTAAAAACAGCAGGGAACTGTTAACCTCATTTATCACAGAAGGCTACTAATTAAAAGTAGGCTACTAATAGGCTACTATTAAAATCCATCAATAATAATAATTATTTTCAAAAATAATATGGAAAAATCCAGGTACAGTACAGTCTTTCACCTTCAGGTATGTGAAGAAGCACGTTGTCCCAACATTGGAGAATGCTGGGGAGGTGGGGAATATGCCACAGCGACAGCTACTATTATGGTGAGTCATTAACCATTTCTTAAATGTTCTGTTAATGTCTGATCTGTTTGTACTCTATTGTTGGATCTCTGCTGTATTGGAGTGGGTTTATTACAATAAATTTAGAGTAAAGCACTGTCCTAGTTTTTTTTTTGCTTACTGTTAGGATTTATTCCCTGTAGCTTATCCCCTGTAGCTATTTCCCAGCTGAGCAACAGTGATATGTACTGTGTAAAGATAGGAATGTCTTTCATCTTCCAGCTGATGGGTGACACATGCACCAGAGGCTGCAGATTTTGTTCAGTAAAGACTGCAAAAAACCCCGCTCCACTGGATCCGCAGGAGCCTTACAACACAGCCAAGGCTATCGCGGAGTGGGGCTTGGACTACGTGGTGCTGACGTCAGTGGACAGAGACGGTGCGTACCCTGGCTGTCCTCACACCACTCTGAGCTCTCACAGCGGTTCCGTGGCTACACACAGGCCCCAGAAACATTTATCTGCACAGCTGCCCAGGAGAAAATGTTCAGACAACCGTGCTGAAACTTTGCACAGTTCCTACATATTCTTAGTATTTCTCCATGGCTGGTGAAATACAACAGAAATTACACTTTTAGTAAACATCAATAAATACTACAACACTAAATATTTTATAACTAATTTTTAGCAGAATGCATTCATATACGTACACCATGTTCTGTTACTTGGATAACAAAAAGACAGACATTTATATACAATGCCATTACAGAACTTCCTTCCAAACACTAAACCTAGAATATATTACATGTAGCAAAACTGAAAGTTGTGTTTTTCTAACGAAGTAGGAAGTAGCTCCCTTGCAGTAGCTCCCTTGTGGTGATACCATATTGGTGAAGAAAGCCATTGTAAAAACTGTTCAGTATGATGGAAAGTCCAGTAGCTTCAAAGGGGCTTAAGAGAGCACTAATACATATTTCTCAATTTTTGTACGACTATTTTTCAGACCAGAACTATAAATAGATAAAGCCATTCTGTGCTCAGGGAGACAGGGAACCTAGAGACAGGTAAATCTGAACTCTGCCCTGGGCAATCACAGTTAGACTTTGTGCAGAGGCTTTGTAGGATATCTTCTGTAAACCCTTGGCATAAGCAGTGAGATAAGACTGGGGTTTTATTATTTTGCATTTAAGGTTTGATTCTGATGGGTTTTTTGGCCTTTGGTAATAAATACGTTTCTTGAACAGAAAGGTTAACTGAAAAATTGGAATGCTTCTAGATATACCTGATGGTGGAGCAGAACACTTCGCAAAGACAGTCTTGCATCTGAAAGAAAGGTGTGTCATTGATGTATTAACTGTTACTGTTAAAATTTTAGAATGTGATACTGCCTGTGGTTCAAAGCACCTTTAGCTTTGTTATTGTTGTTATTTTTTGTTAGCTCCTTTAGCTGGGTTATTCCAGGAGCCATGCAAATACAAAAGCCTGCCTCTAGCCTGTCTGTGCCCCCTTTTTTTCCCCTTTCTTCATCTTTCTCATAGCATGGCCCCAAACTGTTTTGAATTAGGATGCATTTCCAGTTCATCCCAGGCTTATTTAAAGCTAAGCACTGGATTCTTTCTTAGCACAGACAGCTGGTTTACCAGGAAATGAATACATTCTTCTGGGGTATGTTCATTCCTGAAGCATGTGGCTCAAACACAGCAGAGTTAGGTAACACTGTCACCATGTGACCAAAGGAGTCTGGTTTCTCTTTCAGAATTGATGAAATTGCTTTTCATTTTGCCATTTCCAAGTCTGTGATTGTACCTTCCTGCTTTCCCTGGCAGTGCTGCCTTCACCCTATATTGGTGCTCTATATGTGATTTGACAGCTCACTTGTTTGCCTGCAGAATTAATTTGTATAACCTCATTTAAGTCTTTATCCAGTGTATCTTGGGGCTTGAAGGGTTTCTGCAGTTTTCCCCACCTGCCTTTTTGAGCTGAAATTGGCTCCTGGACATCAAGACTAGACTCAGAGTCCTCTTATTCCACTAGCAGAATATAGCTCCTCTGTATTTTGGAGCTATCATCTTAGACAAAACAAATTCCTGGTTTTACTCATATGAGCTGAAATACAGCAAAAGAGAAATAATAAATATAAAATCAATTCCAACAGTCTCTCAAATATTCACATGCACTGTTTGTATTTTTTAACATGTCTTTGTTACAGGTTAACTTAATACAAGTTTGTTAGAAAGTGTTTGCCGAAACCTGTTGGTTTAGAAACAGAGAACTTTGCTTTGCTTATTAGAATGTCATGTCTTCAGTTATGGGGGTTTTGGGGTATTTTTGCTGTCCTGAATTTTTTAGCAACACTGACAAAATGACACAGGTCTCTCTTCCTTTTGTCTCTCGTTTTCAGGAATCCAAAAATCCTGGTGGAATGCCTAACTCCCGATTTCCGAGGGGACCTTAAAGCAGTGGAGAAAGTCGCCTTGTCGGGGCTGGATGTGTATGCCCACAACGTGGAAACGGTGCCGGCACTGCAGAGGTGATCAATGGCTGGCTTTGGGTGTACGGGATGAGGGAGCGGGACCGGGCTGTGGGCCGGGTGCGGAGCGGAGCGGGGCCGGCCTGTGGGCCGGGTGCGGAGAAGGGGCCAGGCTGCGGGGTCGGGCTGAGGGGCTGGGTGCGGAGCGGAGCCGGGCTGTGGGCCGGGTGCGGAGCGGAGCCGGGCTGTGGGCCGGGTGCGGAGCAGAGAGGGACCGGGTTGAGGGGCCGGGTGCGGAGCGGGGCTGGGAGCGGAGTGGGGCCGGGGGCGGGGCGGGGCCGGGCTGAGGGCCGGGCCCGTTCCCGGCCTGCCCCGCGCGCGCTGCCACCGAGCCCGCCGCTGCCGGCAGGGGGCGCGCGCGGCGCGGGCCTGGGTCGGTGCTGCCGCGCCTGAGCCCAACCCGTCCCGTCGCCGGTGTCCAACTGCACGGCCAAAATCGTCTGCTCTGCCACTTCTCAGAAACTGGCAGAACGCGCCTGTCTGGCGTCTCTAACTTATGTGTGCCCTTCCACGCGTTTTTCCCCTTTGTGCTGGAAATGTGCGAAGGAAGGTCCGCGACCCCCGAGCCAACTTTGAGCAGTCTGTCCGTGTGCTGAAACACGCCAAAGAGGTGCAGCCCGGTGTCATTTCCAAAACCTCCCTTATGCTGGGGCTAGGCGAGACGGACGAGCAAATATATTCCACAATGAAACGTAAGTTGCTGTTGAAATAGATGCCAGAATTCACAGGTATGATTTTTACTGTGTTGGAAAACAATTGTAAGTATTTTTGCCTCTACATGCAAATCAGTTTGCTGGTGCAGGAAATGTTTTTTTCAGAATTTCAGAATTCAGAAAGACTGAATTTCTGAAATATTTTGTCTTCTTATAGCTTAAAGATACAATTTGACAGGTAAATCCATGATTTCCCTTGTGATTCTTCTGCCACTAACAAGGAATTTTGTTCTTACAGTATTGCGAGAAGCAGATGTAGATTGTTTGACCCTAGGACAGTATATGCAACCAACAAAACGTCACCTAAAGGTAAAAGTGCCTTTAATTTACAGGCAGATTTAGAGTCTGTACCTTGCATAGTCATCTTTATTCTAACTGCAGATGTTGGGAAAAATATCCTTCCTTGTTTAGCCTGACAATGATTGTCTGTTAGGGGCTCTTCACTAAGAATGATCTCAGCCATCTAACACCTTCCATCTTGTGCAGACTTCCCAGTGCTAGTTTCTGCTGTGAGCCAGGGAGACAGCTGGAGCTGAGGCATGATTCTGGAAAACAAGAGCTTCAGTGTATGCCTCAAATGTAACTGCTCAAGCCAGCGCCCCTTCCCTGCCTTACAGGCTCTCCCTTAATGGTGCCACTTCAGCTGGGAAATTTACCATTTTCTGCTTCTGCAATCTGTCCAGAAATTTGCTCTCTAATATTTTCCTGTGTTTCACTGAATTGACTGTTAGTGAAGAGATTTGTAGGACTATTGTGGTTCTTCACTAACTTGTGACAGGACAGGAAAAAAGGTTTGCTTGGAAGGACCATTCAAAAACAGAATGAAGAAAATGGTAAAGCAACAACTACAAATTAAATTCTGAACTTTTCAGCTAAGTATGTAAAGCAAATAAAATACATTTGCTTGGTAGAAAGCAAAGAGCAAAAATGCAGTTTGTGACTTTACTGATGAAAGCTTTGGAGTGAAAAATTTTCAACTTGCAATATAACTGTATTTTATTTCACTGTATGCTAGCTATAGCAATTTCCTTTGCTTTAATACTTGAACAAAATTAATTCTTTTCCCCCAGGTTGAGGAGTACATAACTCCCGAGAAGTTTAAGTACTGGGAAAAAGTAGGAAATGATCTTGGATTCCATTACACTGCTAGTGGGCCTTTAGTGCGTTCTTCCTATAAAGCAGGTAAATTACTGAAAGGCATTGGATTATTTAGCATGTAACATTTTATTATACAAAACTGAAATGGTGAAGTAATGTGCAACAAAGCTCACCTTAGCTGAAGGACACCTTGCACAGTTATCTGTATTTTTAAAATTATTTACACTATTTCCTATAGGTCATCCAAATGCATCAGTATGATAATAATTAGTATTTGTACAATAGCAGTGCTGCTTAACCTAATTTTTTCTCCAAACATATTTTGTGCTAAATGTGTGAGACAGGATAAAGGGTACCAAATTTTCAAGCTTTCCTTCACGTTCTGTCTCTTGAATACTTCTGGGTTCAACAAGGTCCTTGTTTGTGATGCAATTTGGTTGCTTTAGGCTTAATTTATTTAACGTGCTTTAAAAATAATTAGAGACACTTAAGGCAGTGCTTTTTCTGACAAAGCACTGGGTATGAAGTAGCAGCTGATATTAATGGAACTGTTGTGTAGGTACAAAATCCTGCTTTTTCCTAAGGAAAGAGCAGAGAAGACATCTGGGGTACTGTGCTGCTCAGTCTGTTTTAATGCCAGCTCAAGCAAGATTTATAGCAGGTTTCACTATAACTTGCTGATACTTTATGAAACAGGAATTCAGTTTTAATTAAATTGATTCACTTTTGCCTGTTGTAATGCACAAAGCAACAGAGCTATTTAATAAAACTTAACAGGAGGAAAATCAGGATTTTGGTAGTGGAGGGGCTGTGTGTTGGGTTACAGTTTTGAGGGGTTTTTAGATACCTGCTGTATGTATTGGGAATGCTGTTATATAGAACTGAATTCCTATAAAATAACTGGTAAAAACAATTGTACTGGAGAATAGAACACTCATGGTTAAATTAGAATGTATTCTTTTGCCTTATTTTATTGAAATACCTACAAATAATTTCAGTGTTTATTCTTTTTCCTTTTAATTAGGTGAATTCTTCTTGAAGAACTTAGTAGACAAAAGAAAGACAAAAGCCATCTGAAAATGAGAGTGAACCTATTTAAAGCAGCCAGTTTAAAGAATCCTTTTTTCAGGGCATATTTATACTCAGTTCCAGAAACGGAGAAGAACAGATGGTGGCTATATGAATAAACTTACTATCTTTCCAGAACAACTTTTTCTCATCAAAACACATTATTTTACCTCATTTCTCCTGTCAAGGCTACAACAACAGAGTACTTCTAGTGGTCAGCAAAAAGACAGAAGATAGAACTGATTTTGAAAGAGTGATGGAACTGAGGTGGAAGAAGTAAACATAAGCTGGGAACAAAGACTGGGCAGATTTATAGGTCTGTTATGACTGTCAGCATTGCTGCAGTTAATACCTGTAAAGGTGCTGATAGTAATTTGAAAGGTACTGATACTGTGGTGTGTCTTACTATTATGTAACATAAGCTTGCAGGGGGGCTCTGGGAACTATAGGAGTTCTAAAGAAAGACTCTGTACATGATAATGCACCAGATTAGGGCTTTCTTGAACTGTGCCAGAGAAAGTATAGTGATACTCCTTCAAAAGACAGTATCTCTTACCTGTATCAGAGAAAATGAGCTGTGCCATTCTGATAGCTAAAGCTTTTCCAGAACTTGCATGTCTCCCAGTCTGAGCCTTGGTATATACAAGGTATCAAACTGAAGAAAACAAAATGTTCTTTCTGGCAAGACAATTAACCTTCCCTAGATACCATTAATTTAAACCATTTGGAAAATCAGAGTTGATGTAGGAGCATAAATGGAGCTACCCCTAATTTATGTACATGACTGTAACAAACTCCACTGAGCTGCACAGATGCTTATTTAGTATTGTGTATGCAGACTTGCTGCTATTCTGTACTGTGCTCCTACTGCATGGCTATTGTCTTGTCTTTAAAGGAAAGTTAAAACCCCAGTGGTTGTGTTTGATGGGTCTGGTTACCTACCCCTTGAGGCTTGGTTTGGCTGCTAAATCTGAATGCAGAGAAGTGAACCACATTGTGGGTGAAAGATGAAATCTACTGCATATCACACTAAGCTCAAGCAGAAATAAACATATGGCATATGGTACCTGAACAGCTCTACTTGCCTCTATTTAAAGCAATACCAATGATTGTCGCTCCTTAATGCTCAGCTATGGACATTAAATACCATCTCTGAACTAACTTCACTTGTATCTGTGTGAAGTTATTTGGGAAACATCCCAGGACTTTGCTATCTAGTCCCAAACTCTTATTATGCAGGTAATTCTATGACTGGCTCTAGTACTTTTCTAAACTACTGGAATCTGTAGGAGAGTGGCCCCTGCACACCCACAACTCAGCAAGATGACAGAAGGACGACAGCTACCTAGCAAGATAATATATAGGAGAAACTTGTGTGAAAATAATATACCACTGAGGCCAGTGATGCACAGCTGACAATTCACAAAATGAAGTACAGCAATATTAAAGCATTATGAAGACAAAATATGAACAAAGAAGGAATGTACCAATTCACTAGTGTAAGGGAAAGAGAAATGTGAACTATGAAGAACAAAGGGGAAGAAGGGATAAACAAAAGAATAGCTGTACTTCATAAAGACGAACAGGCAAGGTGCCTTTTTTTTAATAATATTATGAATAAATTTTAAAAATTAAATTAAAAGGTCTGATTGCTAGTATGGAAAGCCCAGATATATTTTGAGCCAAAAATGTCCTGCTTCAGCTAAAGTAAACTTGAGTACTAGAGCAGGGAAAGGTTATCAACTATTTCAATGAAGTTAAACACTCCCTCCACTGCAGCAGACAAGAGAGGGTTGTTACATCAACTCCAGGATACCTATATGTGTAACAGCTGCCAGCCTTTATTAGAGGTCCTACTGCAAAGAATGGTTTTGACTTTGATCTGATATAGAGCAGATTTAATGGAATATGACTTTAGCTTCTGCCAAGGGACTGCTCTTTCAGCATATAAACACCAGAAATACAGAGAAAAAAGGAGCTCTGAGCCATACAGCCATTATCAAACTGGAACAAGGAAACATTGCACAGTGACTTCTTAACAGTGAGAAAAATAATGCTTCTTGAAACACAGTCCACTTTGCATCATGTTAAAATTATTTTGTGAGTTGCTGTGGGGTGGTGCAGAACATGATCTCATGATCTTACACAACTGTCTGCTAACTGGTACCAAGTGTCAGAAGCTACACAAGCTTTTCTAGCTGCATATTTTGCTGTAGATCCTAGTGTAAGTTATACTTCGATTTCATAGATAGGAGAAGGTCTTTACCTGTTTTTTGTAACAATGTTTAGGGACAAGCCCTGAAGTTCTTTTCCTAGTTACAAATTCCTCCTTGTACAGGCATCTGACTTTGCCTGTTGCCCATTCTGTTTTTCCATAACTATGTGTTAATGCACCAAACTATCACAAACATCCTTTTTGTAATTCAGCACAGGTTTCATGACTGTTTAGCTGAAGTTTCATATTTAGTGACACTTCAGTTTTGCATGTCAATCACATAATTCTGTCAGTTTGTTTCACAAAGCAGATATAAAATATTTTAAGAAACATTAATCATCCTTGCAACCAGGAAAACATTAAACTGAGTTTTGGAAATAAGATTTGGAGTTGACACAGACACTTTAAAAGAATGAATAGTCTTTTTGGCATCATCACATCAATCTACTACACTGTCTGAAACATAATTAAATATTATTCATAGAGAATTAATGCATCTTCCAGTAACTTCCAAGTCCTTAAGTGAATGGAACACTGGCTTTGTCAATTTAGAAGTTTAAAGTTTTTTCCTACTTGATGAATAATTAATATTAGTGTCCCCTCCATTAAACAAGTGTCAAATATTTATGCTTCTTTACTACAACATATGGTAACTTATCACAGGTGTTCAACTTGGAGCAGAAATTTTAACTTGATTCCAGCATTCCTAAATCATATCTCCATTATGCCTTCCTACATTGTTTACAATTAAATTTCAAGTTTATCTGTTGAACAAGATTATAGCACTATAAGAACCTCAAATGAGAGGTGTAAACTTTTTAGCCAGTACAAAATCTCACCCCTAACTGATCCTATAATAACCAGTCTTGATCAAAAATGTGTGTTCTATTCACTTGGAATATTCTTGGCTATTGTATTCCTGGAACCAGACTAGGTTTAGCAGAACAAAAACATTACAACTTGCCTGGCAAAATTTGTCTGTGTACATCTTGGGTAAGACCCAATTTATGCATTCTGTATCATACTACTTCTAGACTTGATTAAACCCTGATTCTCTTCAGCTGTTGTATTCACATTTTTGCAGTGTAAAGCAGTGTTACCATGGGATTGCATTTTAAGAATGCCATAAAAAGAATTTCAGAGCACAGGAGTCTGTTAGTCTCATTACACAATTCTCACCCAGAATGACATGCTGTAATATCCATACACAAAGACTCAACAGCATTAAACCCCATCTCTTATGTGCACTACTCAAGCCTTCGTAACAGGAACACAGATCATCTCCAGTTCTTATTTCCCAGATAACTGGGAACATCTGAAGATGATGGCTTATGATTGACAGTGCTGCACAAGCTTCTGAAGCTCTTCCTTTTGGCCTGTGGTAAGGTTCTCTAGTATATATGCAAGGTATGTGTTGCTGTATCCTGAAGGAATGCCCCACTGCATTCATCCCCCAATCCCAGTTCTCCCACTAAAAGAATGCAGTCACCAGGAAACTCAGTTGCCCTCAGAAAGTAAGGGAAATGCCAGTACTGGTTTTACCTCTTATTGCTCAAGAAAGGATCTGCTGTTTCCCCTTTGCTAAGAGAGGGAAGTGAGAGCAACCCCGGTGTAATGAACTTGGCCATTTAATATCTTTATGACTAGCCCACAAGTCACAATTCAGGCTTTGACTAATTCTGCAGGAGAAACAGGGTAGCAATGGGGGCAACAACACTTAGTTTTTCCATCTCTTTGGGATGGCTTGTGAAAAGCCACTGGAATCTCAGGAACTTGCACATTCCTAAAGGGAACAATACTTCACACAAGAGTAACAGTTCATCATCTGCTTCAAACTGATGTAGACAGGTCCCATACTACTAGAGGCATACTAGTAGAGGCACTACTATTACAGGTGTGTGCAAGTTTCAGAAATGCATTCTGATTTTCTGACACCTCTACTCACCCTCCTGGTTAAGATGGGCCCTGAAGCAGTGCTGTGCTAACCTGAACAGTCAAGGACAAGAGATCCTTTGAGTACAACTTGTCAGCCCTCTTCTTAATCTCAAAAGAGTAGTGACCAGCCTGCCCTCTTGGGTGCTACAGGGCCAGGGATAGCCAAGAAGGCACTCACCTGCAAAACCAGGGTGATCTGCCTCTTGGATTACAGTGCTTACAAGGGCTGCATTGCAACCATTGCTGCATCCCAGGGCCATTACATGAAAGCAGCACTAATCAATAGGGAGGAGGAAATGGCATGATGAAAGATGACAGTTTGATTTTAAGGCCCCATAATTCCTACTCACTTTGAGTGGCTTTTGATGTGAGGAAAAATCTCACAGTAGGACAAAAAGCCTCAGGCATATTTGCCCAAAGTGCCAGATGATTGCTGCAGACTAAGTCCCTATGTGGGAGCCATAAACATGCAGAATCTGGATGCATCTGGTTCAAGGACACAGCTATTTCAGTCAGGTAACAGTGTCTTGTATTGTTTATCCAAATTGTTATACAAATTCCATAAATCTTCCAAGTAATTGTCCTAAAGTTCAAACTGTATGTGCATTTCTGTGGGTAAGCAGTTACAGTAATAGCACTCATTACCAAGACACTGATCTTACATCTTGTTTAACTATTGATACACCATGCTTGAAGGCACACCAGTTGAATAATTCAGAAGACATTATTTGAGCAGTTGCAGAATAATTCTCTACTATCCCAACACTCTATTATTCAACCAAGATGTATATACCTTCTACTCTGAAACCTGTTCATGGTCATCCTTCTCCATCTTCCCCTCCATCTCACAACCCCATGGAACAAGCCAAACACTGAGAAACACTGTCATCGCAAGGATTTTAATAGCACTGGCCAATTGAGAATAGTAACAAGTAGAAACAAAGTAACACTAAAGACAAAAAATATCCCAAGAACATTGGAAGTATTCATTCCCGCTAGTCAAATGAGGTAGGAAGCTGATTTATGGGGCTGAATTTATTCTTAATAATTTCTTCACAGCAGATTCATTAAGAAGACTGCTTTCAGATGGAGTATGTAATGAAGGAAAAAGCTATCAGGTAACATTGAAGCCAGTATTTGTTTTCTGTTTTGTTATCTGTTTTGGCTTGATACCAAATTAAGGTAATTCTCCTTAAATTCAATGTTCAAACAAGCAGAATGCTCCTCTGCTGAAGACAGGTTGTGTTGCTGTAACTTAGGGAATACTTGCCCCAGGAAACTGATTACATGAAAGTGTGGCTGCACATGGAATGTAGGCAAGATAACGAAAGAATGAAAACTGAAGATCTGCCAGTGGATCAGTCTGTAACTGCTATCCACTGGCACTAATTACACGATTGATACCTGCAGAATGATCTGGTCTCCCAGCAGATGCAGTTTAGACTGCATCAGTGCCAATGGATCACAACCATGACTGGGACATTATTGGTGAAGTCAGTTCTACCTTAGGACTGGACCTAAACCCTACCAATTTACTTTCAAATGATTTTTTGACTTCAATGCCAGCTGGAGCATATACTTAACTGGGCAAAGAATCACCCCAAAAGAAAATAAAAAGTTGGTGAGACCAAAGTTCCAGTCTTTAGATCACAGTTTATACAGACTGTTTATAATCAGTTCATGGACTGATTACAGTCTATAACTGGACTAAGGTAAAAAGATATTATATTTATTTTGTTTTCATATAATTTGAAATATTTA